CAACAGTGTCTTGCAAAAGCTTTTCGTGTTGATGAGTCCAGTTTATAACTTTTTTCTTTTGTGGTCCAGCTTTGGGTATATTTTCCTTTTCCTCTTCTTTCTCTCTTTCTTTCTCTCTCTCTCTCTCTCTTTTTTTTTTTTTTTTCTGAGGCAGAGTCTGTCTCTGTCTCCCAGGCTGGAGTGCAGTGGAGTGATCTCAGCTCACCGCAACCCCTGGGTATATGTTCTAAGAAATCTTCACCTAAGCAAGGCTGTAAATATTTTCTTCTAAATGTTCTGTTCTTTTTTTTTTTTTTTTTAAAAATATTATACTTTAAGTTTCAGGATATTATAATTTAGGTTCAGAGCTACATATGCAGAACATGCAGGTTTGTTACACAGGTATATGTGTACCATGGTGGTTTGCTGCACCCATCAACCCATCATCTACATTAGGTATTTCTCTGAATGCTGTTTCTCCCCTAGCCCCCACACCCCCTGACAGGCCCTGGTGTGTGATGTTTCCCTCCCTGTGTCCATGTGTTCTCATTGTTCAACTCCCACTTATGAGTGAGAACATGTGGTGTTTGGTTTTCTGTTTCTTTGTTAGTTTTCTGAGAATGATGGTTTCCAGCTTCATCCATGTCCCTGCAAAGGGCATGAACTCATCATTTTTTTGGCTGCATAGTGTTCTGTGGTACATATGAGCCACATGATGGTAAGTTTTTTGTCATATGTTTGCTGACTGCATAAATGTCGTCTTTTGAGAAGTGTCTTTTCATATCCTTCACCCACTTTTTGATGGGGTTGTTTCTTTCTTGTAAATTTGTTATTTGTAGATTCTAGATATTAGCCCTTTCTCTGAGGGAGAGATTGCAAACATTTTCTCCCATTCTGTAGGTTGCCTGTGCACTCTGATGGTAGTTCCTTTTGCTGCGCAGAAGCTCTTAAGTTTAGTTAGATCACATTTGTCTATTTTGGCTTTTGTTGCCATTGCTTCTGGTGTTTTAGTCATGAAGTTCTTGCCCATGCCTATGTCCTGAATGGTATTGTCTAGGTTTTCTTCTAGGGTTTCTATGGTTTTAGGTCTTGCATTTAAGTCTTTAATTCATCTTGAGCTAATTTTTGTATAAGGTGTAAGGAAGGGATCCAGTTTTGGCTTTCTGCATATGGCTAGCCAGTTTTCCCAACATCATTTATTAAATAATCCTTTCCCTACTGCTTGTTTCTGTCAGGTTTGTCAATGATCAGATGGTTGTAGATGTGTGGCATTATTTCTGAGGTCCCTGTTCTGTTCCATTGGTCTATATATCTGTTTTGGTACCAGTACCATGCTGTTTTGGTTACTGTAGCTTTGTAGTATAGTTTGAAGTCACATAGTGTGATGCCTCCAGTGTTTTTCTTTTTGCTTAGGATTGTCTTGCTGTACAGGCTCTTTTTTGGTTCCACATGAAATTTAACTTTTTTCTAATTCTGTGAAGAAAGTAAGTGGTAGCTTGATGGGGATAGGATTGAATCTATAAATTACTTTGGTCAGTATGGCCATTTTCATGATATTGATTCTTCTATCCATGAGCACGAAATGTTTTTCCATTTGTTTGTGTCCTCTCCTATTTCCTTGAGCAGTGGTTTGTAGGTTTCCTTGAAGAGGCCCTTCACATCCCTTGCAACTTGTATTCCTAGGTTTTTAATTCTTTTTGTAGCAATTGTAAATGGGAGTTCACTAATGATTTGGTTCTCTGTATATTATTGGTGTATTGTATAGGAATGCCTGTGATTTATGCACATTGATTTTGTGTCCTGAGACTTTGCTGAAGTTGCTTATTAGCTTAAAGAGATTTTGGGCTAAGACAATGGGGTTTTCTAAGTGTACAATCATGTCATCTGCATACAGAGACAATTTGCCTTCCTCTCTTTCTATTTGAATATACTTTATTTCCTTCTCTTACCTGATTGCCCTGACCAGAACTTCCAATCCTATGTTGAATAGGAGTGGTGTGAGAGGGCATCCTTGTCTTGTGCCAGTTTTCAAAGTGAATGCTTCTAGCTTTTGCTCATTCAGTATGATATTGCCTGTGGGTTTGTCATAAATAGCTCTTATTATTTTAAGATATGTGCCATCAATACTTAGTTTATTGAGAGTTTTTAGCAGGAAGGGCTGTTGGATTTTGTTGAAGGGTCTTTCTGCATCTATTGAGATAATCATGTGGATTTTGCCATTGGTTCTGTTTATGTGATGGACTATGTTTCTCAATTTGCATATGTTGAATCAGACTTGCATGCCAGGGATGAAGCCCACTTGATCATGGTGGATAAGCTTTTTGATGTGCTGCTGGATTTGGTTTGCCAATGTTTTATTGAGGATTTTTGCATCTATGTTCATCAGGGATATTGGCCTGAAATTTTTTTGTTTTGTTGTATCTCTGCCAGGTTTTGGTATCAGGATGATGTTGGCCTTATAACATGAGTTATAGAAGAGTTTTTCTTTTTCTATTGTTTGGAAGAGTTTCAGAAGGAATGGTACCAGCTACTCTTTGTAACTCTGGTAGAATTTGGCAATGAATCCGTCTGGTCATAGACTTTTATGGTTGGTAAGCTATTAATTACTGCCTCAATTTCAGACCTTGTTATTGGTCTATTCAGGAATTTGACTTCTTCCTGGCTTAGACTTGGGAGGGTGTATGTTTCCAGGAATTTATCCATTTGTTCTAGAGTTTCTAGTTTATTTGTGTAGAGCTGTTTATTATATTCCGATAGTTTTTATTTCTGTGGGATTGGTGGTGATATCCCCTTTATCATTTTTTATTGTGTCTGTTTGAGTCTTCTCTCTTTTCTTCTTTATTAGTCTTGCGAGCATTCTGTCTATTTTGTTGATATTCAAAAAACCAGCTCCTGGATCCATTGATATTTTTTTGAAGGTTTTTTTGGGTTTCTATCTCCTTCACTTCTGCTCTGATCTTAGTTATTTCTTGTCTTCTGTTAGCTTTTTAATTTATTTGCTCATGTTTCTCTAATTTTTAAAATTATGATGTTAGGGAATCAATTTTAGATCTTTTCTGCTTTCTCTTGTTGGCATTTAGTGCTATAAATTTCTCTCTACACACTGTTTTGGCTGTGTCCCAGAGACTGTGGTACATTTTGTCTTTGTTCCTATTGGTTTCAAATAACTTATTTATTGCTCTCTTTATTTTGTTATTTACCCAGCAGTCATTCAGGAACAGGTTATTTCGTTTCCATGTAGTTGTGTGGTTTTCAGTGAATTTCTTAATTCTAAGTTCTAGTTTGATTGCACTGTGGACTGAGAGACTGTTACGATTTTTGTTCTTTTGGATTTGTTGAGGAGTGTATTTGTTGACCAAATACTTCCAATTATGTGGTCAATTTTAGAATAAGTGCTATGTGGTGCTGAGAAGAATGTATATTCTGTTGATTTGGGGTGGAGAGTTCTGTAGATGCCTATTAGGTCTGCTTGGTCCAGAGCTGAGTTCACATCCTGGATATCCTTGTTAATTTTCTGTCTCATTGATCTGTCTAGTACGGTCGGGTTTTAAAATCTCCTATTACTGTGTGGGAGTCTAAGTTTCTTTGTGTGTCTCTAAGAACTTGCTTTATAAATCTGGGTGCTCCTGTATTGGATGCTTATGTATTTAGGATAGTTAGCTCTTTCCATTGCATTGATTGATCCCTTTACCATGATGTAGTGGCTTTCTTTGTCTTTTTTGATCTTTGTTGGTTTAAAGTCTGTTTTATCAGACTAGGATTGCAACCCCTGCTTTTTTTCTTTTTTCCATTTGCTCGTTAAGTATTCCCTCATCCCTTTATTTTGAGCCTGCGTGTGTCTCATTTAGAAATTTGTGTATAGTTTAGGTTTTGCATTTGGTTCTGTGATCCATTTTGGGTTAATTTTTGGATAAGGTGAGAGGTATGGGTCAAGGTTCATTTCTTTTCACTTAAGGTTGTGTTTTAGAAAGCTAGCAACAATGTCGAGAGGGGATGGGAGTGACAAGAAAAAGACAAAGTTGAATGTTTCTCAATTTATCTCTTGTTCTAGGACTTTATGCATGAGTAGATAAATGGAAAAATCATTTCCAACACAGTGATCATTGGCATTTATGAACCAATTACATTAGTTTGGCCAATATGAATGGTAAAATATTTTTAAAATATATAACAGCCTGTTGGATGTGTGACTCAGTGATTTGGCTGTATGGACATAACTTGAACCCTACTTTTGACCTAAATTTACTCCCTCATTTATCACTTGGGAGTTATGAGGAATTTAAAGGAAAAATGTTTTCTCTTTTGTGTTCTGTGATGATTGTACATCTGAGTGAGATAATTAGTCTTATGCTTTGCTAATACTCCTGATGGTGTCATGATATTAAAGGAAGATGAATTTACTTTGACTAATGAGTAAGAAAAAAATCTGTTTTAGGAAAATCCAGGTGTGGCTTATGAAAAATGAAATTCCAGAGACTCCTCGTTTATCTTGTAGACAGCAAAAATAATAAGCAAATGGAACTGAGGCAGGCGAATAGGGTCTAGAGCAGGTGTCCTCAAACTTTTTACACAGGGGGTCAGTTCACTGTCCCTCAGACCGTTGTAGGGCCGCCACATACTGTGCTCCTCTCACTGACCACTAATGAAAGAAGAGGTGCCCCTTCCTGAAGTGCGGAGGGGGGCCGGATAAATGGCCTCAGGGGGCCGCATGCTGCCTGTGGGCCATAGTTTGGGGATGCCTGGTCTAGAGTCAGAGAACCTAAGGCCATTTCATTCTGACTTCCTAGAACTAAATTGAATGGAAAACCCTAACTTTCCACACCTAAGTAACAAAAGGACCAGAGACTACTCCCTTTGCAAACCCCCATCTTTTCTGCCTGGCAGATGGGGAAATTAAAAGTACCCCTGATTGGTTGCTTTTTGCATAGGAGTGTAACTTTGTAACTTCACTTCAGCCTTTGAATTGTTGCAGACAGCAACCAATTAGACTGATTGCTGGCCGAGTCTTAATTTGCATGCAAGTGCAACTTTGCAACTTCACTTTAGCCTCTGATCGGGGCCACTGCTTCATTTACATGAGGTGAACACAAAGTGGCCAATGGGAAATCTCTAGGGGGTATTTGGACCTGAGAAGATTCTGTATGCCGGACTTTGAGCTGCTGCTGCTGCTGCTGCTGCCAGCTCCCACACTGTGGAGTGCACTATCACTTTAAATAAATCTCTGCTTTTGTTGCATCATTCTTTCCTTGCTCTATGTGTTTTGTCTCGTTCTTTGTTCAAAACCCCAAGAACCTGGAGAACTTGCAGTCAAGACCCTTTACTGGTAACAGAATGTCCTTTCCTCTGTCCATTCTAAACTTCATTTTCAGTGAATAGTCTGTGCTATTTTTGAATTTTAATTTAAACTAATTTAAATTAATTTTATTTAAACTATCAAGTGGAAACTAGAGGATAGGAGTTTAAGCTGTGGTATCCAAATACTCAGGTTCAGTCCCAGTGTCACTATGTGACATCGGGAAAGTTCCTTAAATGCTGTGATCTCATTTCCTCCTCTGTAAAGTGTGAAAGACGATATTTGTACATAAGATTCTTGTGAAAATCAATTGAAATGCCTTATATGCTTAACTAAGACTGATAAGTAGTATGTTACCAATAAATATCTGCTATTATAAATATTAATAAAATTGAGAGCTTGCTTTAAGCTATTGTACTACGCATTGTGCAAGGATATAATACAGGGCTTCCTTCCTCAGGGAGTTTGCAATTTGGAACTCATTGGGGAATGCAGATATGTAAAGAATGACCACTTGAAATTCAACCAGGGGCTTCTCTGCCTATGGACTAGCCATTCTTTATTCCTTTCCTTTATTAATAAACCTGATTTCATTAAAAACAACAACAGAACTCAACCAGAATAAGTGTTGCATTATCTTTGTTAGATGAGGTGAGGCTAGAGTGATTGTCACCTCCTGGGTGGATGAGAGGATATTTCAGCTAAGGGCAATGTTTAATATGGACCTTGGAGGAGGAGTAGGGGTCCCGTAAATGGAGAAACAGAAGCGAATGGCTTACACAGTGGTCCAGAGCATTTGGCAAAGAATTCTGTTGAGCTGAAGAAAGTGGGGTAGAGGATACTGGAAAAGAAATGACAGAAAAAGCAAGTAAAAAACAGAGTATAAAGGGACCAGAATGTCAAGAGGAGAGGTTGGACTTGGATTTTTCTTATTCACCATATTTTATACCTTTTTCGTATTAGTTCTTGGAAAAAGCCAGTCTGGAAGACCACTCATGAAAAGTTTTATTTCTCTTCCTTTAGAAAAAATAACATAACACAAACCACCCTTGTAAATCATTAATGGCCCATTTTAAAAAGGAGATTACAGCCTGGGAGTTACTATTTTTCTGTTAGAGAAATAAAAAGGAATATGTTGAATTATATGAAATATGAATTGGCCTCTGTGCTCCAGTACCTATCTGGGACAGATTTATAAATACTGAAATGATATAAAAGATTGTTGTTCAGTCCCTTTAATGTTAGAGAACTTTTAATGGCAAAGCAAGGACACTGGAAAAAAGCTTTAGAGAAAAATAGTTGTAGTCTGGAAATCTAAAGTTATTCTTTATTCTTCCATATTGCTTTACGTCTATTTAGAACTTGAAGATTTTTAGTGTTTTTCCTACTCTGCCAATTCTTGGAATGTTTGCAGAACTGAGAATTTACTTCTTCATTTATTACTTCTTAACTACATTTTAAAGGTAATAGTGATATCTTAAATTATTTTTTCTCTTTTCACTGTGTAGAGTCATTGAGGTAGAACTAATATTCAGAGAATTAATTTCCAAATTTTTTAATTCTGAAAATGATTCAGGTTATTTTCCTCAAAAGTTTAATCTGGTATCTCCTAGAATAATATGGGGGAGTAGTGCTGGGAACAGAAAGTAAGAAGTTGTTCACAGTCTCGATTAGACAAGCCATACTTTAATTAATAGTCTGCAGTTGAAAAAATGACTCCAAGAATTAAATGTGAAAACCAATTCTTTCAGCGTTCCAAGAATATTTAATTCTCTTAGAAGAGTTTATGTCACAATTGGGAATGATTTAAATTTTCTGTGGTGCCTTGAAGTTATTGAAAATGAAAAGAAAAACTCCCTCACAGGTTATTTTTGTGGCAAAGTTTGGGGGGCACCCGCAACTGTATCTTCAGATTTGACAGAGTCCGTCCCCATCTTCTTTGGCGTTGGCTTTCAGCGTTTCTACCAGGGGATTTCTCCAGGCTTACTCTCTAAAAAGATGTTTGTGTTTCATCAGAGCTAACCTAGTTAGTGTCCCATTTCCGCAGGACTCTGATAACTGACTAGAATTTCTGCTAGAATAATTTCAGGCTCTAGTGTTTATCCATTTGTTTATTCATTTCGTATTTATTGGTAGTTACTGGATAAACCATTTTCATTTGAAAGAAAGTACAAAAATAGGCTTTAGAGTCTGAGGTTGAGTTCAAATTGTGAGTTTATCCTTAACCTCCCAAAGGTCTCTGCTGAACTCCTATAACTTCTCTGAATTTCAGACCTTTCATCAGAACTTTTCGTCAAACTTTCATCTATAGGTTGACTGAGAATAGCAACCATACAGGGTGATTGTGAATACTCTGAAGGAGATTTGCCAAGGTGTAAAGTGCTATTTGAAAAACGTTGAAATTAAGCTAATAAATCCTGCTAAGGGAACACTTTGTCATCACAGATTGCTCCTTTTCTGGTGTCAGTTTCAGGCATAGGCAGGTGCATATAGAATACTATTTGGGATGCATGGCAGGTTGTACGTTCTGAAGATGGCTGCAGTGATCTCTCCTGTCCCACAGGCTCTTTTTGCAATGTGATCTTGACCGTCCCCACATTGGGAGGTCTAGGTTTCCTCCCCTTGGGCCTAGGTGATGTTTTCTCCTGTGTTTGCTTTCTGTGGATGCTCACATTTAGAACCCAGCCTCAATGCTCTGAGGAAGCCCTGTTCCACTTTTGTGGAGGAGAGGTCACATGTAGGTTGGCTGGCAGCCTACCCGAGGTCTTAGCTGACAGAATCACCCAACAGTGGATGGAGATGCTTTCACACTTTGAGTGTGCCCAGCTCAGGCCCCGGATGACATGGAGCAGGGATATGCCATCTATGGAGTATCCTCTTAAAATTCCTAACCTACTAGTGAGGCAGGAGATTAGGTTGTAGAGGCAGGAAATGCAAGGTCATTTCACTCTAACTTCCTAGAACTAAACTGAAAGGAAAACCATAACTTTCCAGGCCTAAGTTACAAAAGGCCCAGAGGCTCCTCCCTTTGCAAATCCTCACCTTTTCTGTGCCAGATGGGAGATTGAAAGTACCTCTGATTCGTTTGCTTTTCACAACCAATCAGACATTTGCATAGGAGTGTAACTTTGTAACTTCACTTCAGCCCGTGGTTGGGGGCCACCACTTCATTTACATGAGGTGAATACCTAGTGGCCAATGGGAAACCTCTAGGAGGTATTTGGACCAGAGAAGATTCTGTATCCGGGACTGTTCAGCCCCTGCTGGGGTCTGCTCTCACACTTTCACTGTATTCTTTCACTTTAATATCTCTGCCTTCATTGCTTCATTCTTTTCTTGCTTTCTTGTGTGTTTTGTCTGATTCTTTGTTTCAGATGCCAAGAACTTGGACAACTTGCTCTGAAAGCCCTCTGCCAATAACACCAGAATCCATGAGAATAATAAAATAATTGTTTCATGCTATCAAGTTTGGGAGTGGTTTGTTACACGGCAATAGCTGACCAGAACAAGATGGAGGATTTATCTACAGCAAACTTGTTTTTAAACATTTTTGTAAGGTTGTAAAGAAAATTTGAATAGTATTATTTCTATTGTTTCCATAGCTTTAAATTATGATGGCAAACTGTAGTTATTTACTGACTGAAACTCCAGAGCAAAATAGAGATTGAAAAATATCGGAAATTTATACTTTTTAATTTATCAGGTAGGATCAAATATCATGAGGTGAATTGTCATTTTCACTCCCACATCCGGTGAGTAGAGGGGCTGACTGTTTTCCTATTGGCTTACACTTTTGCAAAGAATGAGAAGTGAGCTTCTCCATCCTTCTGAATGTCTTCAGAGTGGGATCCCACACATGAACTGTTTTAGCTACTCCTCTCTCTGGCATTCAATCTTTCAGAACCAGTGGCAGGCAGAAAGCAGATGCTCTGTGTATAATTTGGGAAGAGACAGTGGAAGAATTTTATCACTTTGCAATTCTATATAAGATACTTCAGACTATTGGCTTTTTCTGAACCCAGATGTTTCCGCTCTGTGGTTTATCTCCTCATCTGTAAGCAGATTGTAAGATCTCTCATGAGCTTTCCCACTTTAAACCTTGGGGCCTTTGCTTGAATGATTTATTTCGCCCAGAGTGGCTCCTTTCAATCCCTAGCCTTCCAAGTCCAGTAGAAATTCCAGCTCCTTCACGAAAGTTTTGTGAGTTAGCAGCCGCACTTACGACTTCTTAGCCCTTTGTTGGCACGTCTTTTAGAATTCTTAACGCCGCCAATGCCTGTTTCCCTGATGAGATTGCGATGCCATTCTTGGCAGGGTCTCCATCTTGTTCTCCTTCCTGACCCCTACTGTGGTTTCTCAGGAAATGCTTGTTGAATTCCATAAGACGGCCCGCGGGAGTGCCAAAATTGTGCAATCAGAGTCAAGACACTTGGCTCCCAGTCTCAGGTCTGAGCCAGGTCTGTCAAGAGGAGATTCTGAAAATGGTCTTGTGACCCCAGAAGATTCTTCACGCTTCTGGGCCTTCTCAGTTTGCTCCTCTGGAAAGTGAGATAGTTAGAGTAGGGCAGTGGTTCCCAACTAGGTAATACTTTTTCAACACCACTGGTGCCCAGAGGGTCTGATACATCCTTGGTAATGCATCCTTGGCTGGATACACAATTTATAAGATGGCTTCCGGTTTCAGAAATATATGTAGGCTGTTGGATATTGCTGTAGCCTGTGGAGTTAGATGGAAGGAAGTAAGCAGATTGGAATTACAGGTTAGGACTTCAGAGACATAACAAAACAACCCCTCTGAAAACCAATAGCTAATATTTATGAAACCGGGTGCTGTGCTGGACTTGGAATGCATTATTTCATTTATCGGGCACAATGCCCTATGGGCAGGCACTATTATTTTCCCATTTGGTAGATAAACTGGGGTTTAGTGAGGTCAGGTAATGAGCCAAGTTGCTGAACTAGGTTGCTGAGCACCGGAACTGAGATCAAACCCAGGCTCTCTGACTTCAGATCCTGTATTCCTAACCACTCCCTGGCTGCCTTTCTCTTAGTTTTTGCTTTTATTGTGTGGAACTGATCGTATGGTTATTAAGAAGTGTTGACTTTATCAGTCTTTGGAATTCCACTCTGTTCTGTATATTTGGTTACTGGTAGCTAGGAAGTGATGATGTTCATTTATAACAATCTTTTATAGAGGCAGTGCATAGGGCATGGTTTGGTCATTTAATTGTTGAAAATTGCAGCATATACCACACCAGGTTCATACAAAGGTGGCATCATTTTATTCTTTCACACATACAGTCATGAGTAGCTTAATGACAGGGTTACATTCTGAGAAATGCATCACTAGGCAGTTTTGTCATTGTGTGAACATCACAGAGTGTACTTACACAGACCTAGATGGTATAGTCTATTGCTCCTAGGCTACAAACCTGTATAGCATGTTACTGAACTGAATATTGTAGGCAATTGTAACTCAATGGTATTTGTGCATGTAAATATACCTAAGCAGAAAAGGTATAGTAAAAATATGGTCGTATAATTTTACAAGAGCACTGTTGTATATATGGTTTGCCATTGGTGGAAAGGAATTTGAAAGGCATTTACTTTCGGAAGGAAACTAGAACATCTGGTGTTACAAGGTCATCAAAGACCAGGAAATGTATCAAATCTTGTAGAAACTCACCCAGAGTTCTCATTAGTGGTGAGGGGATTGCTATTCTGTAATTGCATAGATGGAACAATGATAACTCATTTCCATTGCAAAATGTTTCACTCCACAGGGCGATTAAGCAATTGGTATTTATTGCACCCAAGATATTGTTCACGTTTCTATTTGTGAACAACTCCCATATCCACTCTTTTACTCCCCATTTCCCTACCACTGCATAATTTCCAGCTGCATCTGTAATGCCTCTGCCTGGTTAAGTGGCTCTTGGCTCCTGCTGAGCATGACTGACGGGCTGAATTTCCCCTCAGGCTCTTCTAGTGCCCAATTTCCTAGTCTCCGTGGGCAGAACTCCTTTGTCATCCTATACATACTTTGTCTTCAGGTCAGCTCTGCTCTCATTCAACTGTGCCCTGTCTTCCGGTGGTTGCTCAGTCTGGTTCCTTTTGCCTCTATAACATTACCAAAATCTCTTCCCATCTCTTGGATTCAACAGCTCAAAATCAGATTTTTTTCTATAGAATCATGACTACCTTTGCCCTACCCTGGAGTTTACTCTTAGACCTTGGCCACTTTTATTTTCTGCTCCAATCAGTTAAAAAAAAAAATCCTGCTCTAAAGTGGTCAAGTGATGCTTTCTCTTCCAAGGAGGGTGTGGATAGTGTAAATGGGTCTGGTGTGACCATCACTTGAGCTTAGGGTGACGGGAAGGAAAGGCAGTTGGGAAGGATTCCAGTAGAGCAGGTGGAGGAGGGGCATCAGGCCATTGGTCAGTGCTTCTGGCCTCCCACAAGT